AGGTCCTGAATGTGCCCGTCTGTGTCTGGGGAGGGGTCACCGTGTCCTTCAGCTGCTCCTAAAGCACGAGGAGGAGCAGGGGGAGGAGGCACTGCCAGCCTGGCTGGGAGGCAGCGAGGTGGGGAGATGCCCAGAGCAGCTCCTGACAGAGCTGGGGCTGGCTGCCACATCCCTGTGACACCCCTGGGACATCCCTGGGACACCCCTGGGACACCCCTGGGACACCCCTGGGACACCCCTGGGACATCCCTGTGACACCCCTGTCACCTGCCCATGGCATGCAGCTGAGCCTGGGTGCTCTGGAGCTGGCAGGAGAGGAGCAGAGAGGTTCTTTGGATCCTCCTGGAGCAGCAGGGGAGAGCTGCAGGGCTGTAAAGCTCCTGGTGCAGAGCTGCTGCTGCTGCTGCTGCTGAAGGGCTCCTCAGCTCCTTGATGGGAGCAGCTGCTTCTGCAGGCTGTAAAATTCCCATTCCAGGGCTTTTTAAAGGCTCTCCCAGGCTCTCTGTGCTGAGCATAATCCCCATCCCCTGCCAGGGAGCAGAGGGTTTGGCTGCAGGTGACACTCCCCGGGCTGTCCCCACCCTACTGCAGCCCTGTCCCCCATGGTGGGGACAGCCCCAGATTTTTGGGAAGGGGGATCTGTCCCGGGATGCCCTCAGGTCGTGCTGAGCATGCTGCCCTCTCCCAGCTCGGCCCGGAGGATCCAGCAGGGGCTGAGCATCCAGACAAAGAGCTCAGACAGCTTCAGAGGGAGCAGGAGCCAGCAGGGAGAGCCTGGCAGGGCTCACTGCCCGATTTCCAAGTGAAGGGGAATAAATAATGAGAGGAAATCCTCCTGTCTCACCTTCCCCTGCAGCTCTCACCTCCTGTCGCCTCTGGCTGGCTCCAGCCCCGCTGCCTGTCCCTGGTGTGTGTGTGCCCAGGAGCTGGCACAGGACTGAAGCCGTGGGATGTGCTGCTCCCACAGCAAGCAGGGCACGGGGCAGCCTCATTTTATTTTGCATTAGCTTCCTGATGCTGTCCCCGAGCTGCTGGTGGGCTGTTTGGGAGACCCAAATTCCCCTGCTGGGTACCCCAGCCCCAGGGATGCTGCACAGGACAGGAGCTGCATCCCTGCAGCAGCATCCTGCTGTCCCTGCTGTCCCTGCCTCCCGGGGCTGCAGGGACAGGACAGAAGGACAAACAGACACCAAGGTGGCAGTGCCAGCGCGTGCTCATCGCTCTGTGTCCCCTCCCCACCCTGTCCCCTTGCAGGACAGCGGATGGGCACCGTGCCCAGCCCCGGGGGCACCCTGTGTCACCCCTCTGCCAGGCTCTGCTGCTCTCCAGGCCCCTCTGGCTGGAGAGGCCGTGGGAGGGAGACGATGCTGAGGGTTGGCCATGTCTGCTTGGATCGCTGTGACGGGCTGTGCACCACCCACCTTCCCGCAGCAGGGCTGGGCAGGGCCGGACATCTACGGGAAAGCAAGCAGGGTTTGGGAAAAACGAGCAGGGTTTGGGAAAAACGAGCAGGGTTTGGGAAAAACGAGCAGGGTTTGGGAAAAACGAGCAGGGTTTGGGAAAAACAAGCAGGGTTTGGGAAAAACAAGCAGGGTTTGTTCGTCCGTGTCCGGGGAGGGCACATGGCAGGGACAGCACCCCTGCCCGCTGTCCCCAGGGCACTGCCAGCCGAGAGTGCCCAGCGGAGGGGCTGAGCCCGGCCGGGCGCCGGGAGGGGATGCCCGGGCAGCGCGGTGCGGGGCCGGGGATGCGGGACAGGAGCTCCGGTGCGGGGCCGGGGATGCGGGACAGGAGCTCCGGTGCGGGGCCGGGGATGCGGGACAGGAGCTCCGGTGCGGGGCCGGGGATGCGGGGCCGGGGCTCCCCGCGGGAGCGGCCCCGTCCCGCAGCCAACACTGACACCTTGCGGGAGGGAGCACCGACATCTCGGCCGGGAAGGGAAGGGAAACCCTCGGGGACACCTGCAGGAGTCTGGAGAGTGTCGGAATCTGAGCTATTGATGATCCCGAGATTGCAGAAAGTCTCTGTCTGTCAGCCCCGCTGCCAAAGCAGAAGTTGTAATTAATCTGTGCTGGTTTCCAGGTTGTTTATTCTGTTTATCTCTCACATGTTCTGCTGCCCTGCCCAGCTCTGTCCTGCAGGGCAGCGTGTGGGGCTCTGCCCTCAGTGGGATGTGACAAACATTAAATACCAGAAACTC